ACGATTTGTTCCTTAGTCATTCCCATGGGAAGGACGGGAGGGAATGGAGATTTTTGCGATGGCAACACCTGTCAAGCTGCAGATAAACTGGGATGATCAACTCATTTCACAAAGGTCTATGAATAGCCATCTCATGGTAATGACTGATTCCTGCTGCCATGTGCCAGATCAAAACAACAGCTCAGAGGTAAAAGGCTCAAACTACAGATGTTTGGAGCCACACAGCCACTTTCAGTACTCTTTAAGAGTCTTTATTTTTTACATTTTCATATACTCCTGTTTGTATATATATACATATGCATTTGTGTATGTAGCTAAACATATATGCGCATGTACTCATACACTTCATAACACTCTAGTCTAGTGGTTTTGACAAATTTTACCTTGATTTAAAAACAGTGCAAAGTCTGAACTCCTTTCTAGACGAATCATCCAAAATAAAAAAAAAATAGGTATCGCTATAATAACTTGGAATTTGAAGAGAGGAAGGGGGTCAGGACTTCTTAATTTCTTAACTGCTGTTTTTTATTAGCATCCCACTTGGTTTAACGCTAGTTATGTAGCTTTTAAGATGCTTTAATTTTCACCTGTCTCCAGTGCTCTCCCAAAATTTTATTCCTAATACAGGCCTTGCTTCCTGTGCAGGCCTATTTGAAACTGATTGAGCAGTTTTATTCCACCGAATAGTTCCAAAAATAATCACAAAGAAAAGCCAGTGAAAGCCTGTGGTTTTGAATATTCAAATAACCCTTAAAAAGAATAAGCAGGGCCTTAATGACATAAGAGCTTTCAAAAATGTACCCTTTTTTTTATTGTTAAAATCAATGGTAACTGTGATACCCACTTCCACTGGGACAAAACAGAAACCAATACAATGTCCTTTAAAAAGAAAACAAAACAACAAAAAAAAAAAAAAAAAAACCAAAAAACAAAACAAAACAAAAACAAACAAAAAAACACAAAACAAACAAAACCAAGCACCCAAACAACTGAACAAGCCCAAAAGAAGAAACCAAATTCCCTGTTTCTGAAAAGTTTTAACAGTATTTTTGAAAAGGCAGCTCAGTCACTTTCAAAATTTGCGTCCTGAGCCATTAATAGATGAGATTCTTCCCTTGCAAGCTGCTTTGCGCATGTGGTCTCTTAAGCCCAGAGAAAGACACACTGACATTCGTGGGGCTCCAGATGGGCACGAGGGGCCACCCACCTGGGCTACAGCTTTCCAGAAGGAACATCCACGATAAACACTCACTGCTGATTCAGAAACTAATTTCGTAGTTATGGGCTGTATTCAAGTTACTGAGCTTCCACATACAAGGAATGGCCATGAATAACGGGGGGGGGGTTGAAAAAAACAAAACAAAACAAACAAACCACAATCTACTGACAAACTGAATTAAATAACCCATCTGAAAACCAAGGCATTACAGCTTTGAGTGGACTGTTACTTATGCCAAGATCTTCTGTGTTTTTTAATAAGGGGAAACACTGATCCCTCCACAGCCAAAGAAGAATGAAAGGACTGCAAGTGAAGAAAAGTTAAATTATTGAAAGTATTGCATCATAAAGATCCTCCTCAAACATCCGCCAACCTAGGCTAAATAGAAACTAACAGAGTCACCTACAAAGAAAGGTTAGACTGCAAACTCCAAGGAAAGACTGTTAAAGACAAATATAAGTCTGGCCTGAACAGCATCTTTATGTCCTACATTTTGCCACCGTAAGTTCCTTGCTAATTCAAAACAATGTCTCTGACCTAGAGTCTAGGAAGCCACTAACCTGGAATACATGAAAATAATTGTTAATTTTGGCTCAAAACCCCAAACAAAACAAACCCGTATTGCCCTTTAGTTACAGCTGTTGATAATGCAGGCTTCCTTAACACAGGTTGAGTCAGGAGGCTGTTGTGACAGCAGCCAGAAGCCCCAAATTAGCCTTCGACCCCTTTGTGCCAGGCGCTGCAGAAATGCAGGAATTGTCCCCGACACAACTCGGAATTGCCAGCCCCACCAGCAGTTCCTTAGGAGGGACCTTCCCTACCCAATCCCCCCAAATCAGCGGTTGTCCTTCCAGCAAGAGCTGGAGGCCTATGGAAATGAAGGTTTTATCAGCAATTTTATTTCTAGGATTTAAAGTAAGAGAGGACCCTGAATTATTCTGCCCAGCTTTAGAATTCTGTTAAGGTATTTTACTGAGCAACCTCATTAAATCAAATCATGCCTATTTTTAACAGTAAAACACAAAGAAATTAAAGTGTTAAATCCCTGTAATAAATAACACATCTCATCAGCTGTAGGCCATGAAAGTTGCAGGCATATCTGCAGCTCTATATACATTGGGAGCGTAATCCTGAAGTCACTATAGGTTTCCACGTACAGATGAAAGTAGATCAATGGTATCTCAGGTTGAGAAAGAAAGCATTGTTATGAATAAAAAGAAAACGGTGTCCTTTACTCCTGGACAGTCTTTTGCTGTCCAACTCTGGTCTGTAGTAAACTAACTAAAAGGAGAGTCACACTTTTAAAGAATGGGTTTTTACACGCGTCTCTGCCGATTTTGACAATGATTATCGCTGTTGAGTTTTTTCATCTCTTTAAAACCAAAGTAATCTTGTTTTTACAAGATAACAGAAAACTAATGGCAAACTATTAGAAAGAACTAGTTATGACTGCTACCTTCAATTCTTCACAATATTGTTAAGTATCAGTCCAACTACATTCTTCTCTCATTTTTTCCACCCCAACAAATTACGGCTTTCCCAGACTCTTGCCAGTTTGATCGCAAAATTGATGCTTCGCACAAGACACGCACATACAAATTAGAAAGGGGAGATAGCAGAGTATTACAGGAGAGCTCTTTCTTGTGGGTGTGCTTCCAGCGTGAGGCAGAGATGACACATGCTCTCTGCTGACCACCATTTAACCGTGATGCCCCACTGAAATACATACTCATGGCTTATTTCACGGTTCAGCATGCTCCACAGTACTTAATAAACCGAGCACTCAAACCGTCTTTTTAAAATTACGGAGGACATAATTAAGCTCCAGAAACAAGCAGACAACAGCAATTTTAATATAAACATCCTACTTATGTAGAGGACTCTTATTTCAACTCGGCGCTAATGCCCAAACTCATACTTTTGGATTCATACAAATCTCTAGAAGGCTTCTTCCAATATTTCCTTGAGTTACGCGTTTAGTCAGTCCCCTTACATTTTAATCTAGTCCAGACATTTTGACATGTTAGCTTTCTTTTTAATCAGTGGAAAAAATGGTCAGATCAACCCACCGGTGGTACCTGACCAAACAAACCAGCAACATCTTAAGCACAGATGGAGACGTTTGGCCTTCCCAGCAGAAGGCCATGGAAAAACAGATCATGACATATATATTTGAGCAAACCACTGACCAAATATAGCCAGCCACCAATGATAGCCACGTACTGCTATCAAACGCGTGATACCGATCCCAACCTTGCAAACCTTGATGTTCATCACGAGTCCAGTTCTTGGACTACCCCTGGAAGTTAAGCTCACGAGTGGGTCTTTGTACGACCGGGGCCTTAACGACCACAGGGGTTCAATAAGTCGAATAACGGCCTGAAACCTCCACAGAGAACCCAACCCGGGGGACGGGGGGAAGCAAACCCCGAGGGTTCCCCCAGCACCCTGCCATTATTCCAGCCACCCAAAATCCCTGCTGCGGCAAGGAAAAACACTTTCGGGACGAACACCCACTGGAGCCACCCCAAACTTTCCTCACAAGACGGTGCCCTCAGTAGAGGGGCCTCCCCCCGCCGACATTACACTCAGAAAATCTCTTCACCCCCCCAAACCCTCCCTCAACCCCGGCCCGGGAAGATGTAACCCCCCCACTTGGGGGGGGGGGGTAGTGGGGGGGCATCGGGATTGAAGCGCGGCCGGAGCATCACCCGCGCCCCAGCGACAACAAAGCTCCGGCTAGGACCGTGCTTGGATTTGGGGGTGGTGGTGGTGTGTGGGGGGTGAGCCCCCCCCCGGAGCTGAGAGGGGGGCACAAAGTGACAAGCGGCCGCCCGGCGCCCCCCTCCCCGCCGCCCGCGGCCCAGCGCGGCCGAGCCCCCCCCCCCCCCCCCCCCGGCTCCCTCCCTGAGGTAAACAAGCGGGCGGCCCCGCCGCTTCCCCCCCCCCCCCCCCTTCTTCTTCCTCCTCCTCCCTCCTCCTCCTCCTCGCCCCGCCGCCGCCCCGCACTCACCTCAGCGGCCCCCCCGGCGCCCGGCCGGCCCCGGAGCGGCGCAGGCGGAGACGCACACAAAGGGTAATAAAGGGGGAGGAGGGGAGCGCGGGGGGTGGGGGCTGCCCAACTGCCTGCCGCTCCCCCGCCGAGGTGCCTCCCGCCGGGGCCGCCTCTCGGGTTCGCTCTCCCTCCGCCGACGGCCGCGGGAGGGGAGGAGGAAGGGAGGGAGGGAAAGGGGAAGGAGGGGGGGGGGGGGGGGAAGGGGAAGAAACTCCCCGGGCTCCTCTTGGTTGGGGGGGGGGGAGGGTGGGGGGGGGGGGGGGGGTGTTGGTGGCTTGGGGAAGGGGGGGGGGGGGGGGGGGGGGAAGAAACTCCGGGCGCCTGGCCGCGGCCCCCCGCCCCCGCGCTGCTGCCGAAGCGGAATTAGCGCGCTGTCCCTTTAACGGTATAAATAACGGGCCCCCCCGCCCCCCCCCGCGCTCCTCCTCATCATCAGCTGCTGCTGCTGCTGCTTGCTCCGGCGGCTGGGGCTCCGGCGCTGCCGGGGAGGAAGAGGGGAGGCAGCCACTGCGCATGCGCCGCGGGGGAGCTCGGGAGGCCGCGGGGAGGGGGGGGGGAGAGGGAGGGACGTGCCTTCCCACAGGGCCGCGCGCGGCCCCGGAAGGGGATGCGGGGTGGCGGAAGGAAGGAAGTGGCGGGGAAGGGGCGGAAGTGGGCGGGGAAGGGGAAAGGGAAAAAAAGGGGAGGGGGAGGGAAGCAGCTTCGCGGTCACGTGAGGGTGGGGCGGGCGCGGGGGTTGCTGGGAGCGCGGCGGTTGGTTTCGCCGCCGCCTCAGGTGAGGGAACGGCGGGCCGGCATTTTGTGGGTGTGCGTGTCCCCCTCAACCCTCCGCCCCGGGCGCTGGGAGAAAGGAGGGAGGGGTCGTGTCCCCCGCTTTTCCGCCACGCTCCGCGGGGACTGGGGTGCTGCCGTGTCTGTCTGTCTGTCTGTGTGTGGGGGGGGCCGTTATCCCTCGTCCCTCCAGGTGTTTTGGGGGGAGGGGGTTGTCGCTTGGAAGTGGCGGCTGCGGGCGGCATTTGGTGGCAGCGCTGTGACTTTTCGATCTCCGGATTAAAAAAAAAAAAAACAACCAAAAAAAATAACAAACCAAAAGCAAACCTCCACATAAAAAAAAAAAAAAACAAACGCGAACGGGCACGCTCTTCGTCCGGTAGTCTCATTGCTCATGCCCCTCCAGTTTAATCAGTCTAATGGTTTCAGTTCGGCTTCTCCGGCTTTACGTTTTCCTACCTTGCTCGCCTTTGCATCCACTGCCGTAGCGACCTTTTTATTTACGGGATTTTTTATTTTTTTTTTAGCAGCCAGGCTCGTCCTCTGCGGGCCCAGCTGCAGTGCCAGGGGACTGAGGGATGCCTTCCAACAGAATGAGCAAAACTAGGGGGATGAGGGAGACGGCTGTGCTAAAATAAGCCTAAATTGTTGCGGAGCAAGCCTTGGCAGCTTTTGTCAGCACAAAGGAGAATTGTTTTTCATTTGTGCTGCTCATCTAGGAAGGCACTGTGGTTATTATTACAGGCTGCACCAGTGTAAATGTGGATAGCCGATGGTTTCCTTAAAAACTTAATTGTTGTGACTTAACATGGTACGCTGTGCCTGTAGCTTGTTCCACAGGCAGAAACATAAACACATTGTTCCAAACTATCTTAAACAGCCAAAATGAACAAATTACCTTGGGTGGTTGGTCAGAGGAGAATACAAATATCACTTGTTAGTACAGCTTACTTGAGGCATATCGATTTGGTTATTCACAATAATGTACATGCAGTGTAAGTGTGTGAGGTGTGCAGCTCCTGGCTCTGTGCAGGATCAGCTTGTGCGTGGCTGTGCTGTCTCAGTGGAATTTGGCACGTCACTCACAGGCTTGTGAAAGTCCTCGTTGCTATTGAGACCTTGATAGAAAAGCTTGGAAGAAAAGTTGAAGAAAAGCTTCCATATCAGTCGCATTAGGTACTGTTTGCATTGTGTTGAAACATATTGTAAAGCCAACGCTGTTCAGAAGATGCATATAAACATGGATTTCATGTAATCAGAAATTAATTAAAAGTACTTCAGGTTTTTTTTTTTTTTAATACTAGTAAGGTGAACTACTTCATCTTTATTAGTTAAGATGTTCATTACAGCTTAAGCTCGTACAAACGAGCAGCTGTGCTGTGTTTGCACTAAACTTAGCTTACTAACATCCATGTACAGCTTCTGACTAACCTCATTTGGAAAGGAACGTTATTTAGCATAACCTCTATATTCTCTTTCTTATTTAAGGACGAAAACTTCTGCAATGAGTAAACGTAAGCTGAAGGAGAGCAGTGAAGTGAATGAAGAATGCATTTCACAGGCGAGTAACATCTTTATTAGCTGACTTTTTAAACTATGAAACTTTTCCATCCTCTGACGTCCATGTCATTCTATAGCTTTTTATTAGACCAGTGAAAGGGCATGTGCAGGTACTTGATGTAATTTCTAGGGACGTAAATGGTGTTTGTGTTTGCTCTGTATTTCTTTCAGCTTCTCACCTGATTTTTGCTTGCTTTGAGTGTAGTGATGATCTGCTTTTTGGAGTCTTAGTAAAAGGATGGTCTTGCACTGTTAGAGCCGTTTGTGGCAAGAGATTTGCATAAATCTATTTTTATCTAATCAGATTCTTATCTTCCAGTTTGTAGGGTGAATCAGAATCTAGGTGACTTTTTTAACAGCTTAAGTTAGGCAGGACAGCAGCTGGCAAATCAGTTTTCAGTTTCTTTTTATTTTATGATTTATTCCTCTGTTTTTTCAAAGTGGTTACTTAAAACCTATGATGCATCTTGTAGTAAATTACCTCTGGTTCAATGATTTCTTATATTTTAATATCTTTTCTCCATTTACGGATAAAATCCCTTCATAGGAGGAAAACTCTTTCACTTGTGAATGAACAATGTTGACTGTTCGGATTCATTAAAACAGACTAAATCTGGAAATTAAATCAGTAAGATTTTAGTAGAAGAAAAATAACCGAAAAATCAGGTAGACAAGTACATCTCATATTAAAAAGTAATTCCTTTTATAAAGTGAAATTATTAGCCTGCTAGTAATGTAACCCCAGGACAGTGTTTGGTTGGCTGAAACAGGCATGAATGAGTAACTACTACCTAAGGTGAGAGAAATACAAAACACTTATGATACGGGATTGCCTCAGTATAGGTTTACCTGGGATAGAACACTGCACTTTTTCATGATTTGTTAGCATTCAGCAGAAATGAAAAAGGACTCAGTTAAGAGATGAAACTAAAGAAGGTAGAGAAAAGCCATATGGGGGGGGAAGATGAGCCTACTTGGGTGAAGAGAATGAAAAAGCAGTGACACAGATGTGTGTGATAGTGGTATAGCTAGTTTTTAGGTCAAATGGACATTGACTTAGACTGGAAGGCTAGGTGTTCAAATGTGATTTTAAAGAAAAATCACTCTGTGATCAGTGTGCAATTTAATCTCTGCAATTCTTTGAGAATGAGCACTTAAATTGGACATCAAATGTTATAAAAGGATGGAGTATGCAGGTATTTTAGGATAGCTTAAATGAGGGATGGGGAGACGTGGTAGTATAGAGTCCTGTAAATTCTTAAAAATTGGGATTGTCCAATTTGCCTGCTGCTGGTCAAGTGATAGGAAGAAATCTGCTATGATGCTGAAGGTTGGCTGTTTGGAATTGAAGATAGAATTTTAAGTAACAGTTCTCAACGTGGAAAACTGAAGTCAGTGCAGACATATATCTGTAGAAATCCCAAGCAGTACATCCAAATTATGAGCTAAAATAATTCTATTCACAATATAGTTTGAAGGGCTTCAGGGCTTTATCTAAAAATTAAGCCGGATAGACTTCATTCCATCCTTTGTTAGCAATATATTAGCTTCAGTTTTGTACTACTTCCTGGCCCTCTCCCTTGCCACCACACGCTCCACTCTGAGGGACAAGCTATCTGAACCGAAGCTTCAAAGAAAGATTAAATTTGATACTTCCTAATGTTTGAAGGTGGTAGGCTGCAATTTAGTTGCGAGTGGTGCAAAAAGTGTATTCACTGAGGATTTGGGAGATTAACCAGGTGGGTTATGTTTCATTTCAGTCAGCTGGTAAATGTTTTCTTGCCTGTATTACACAGTAAGTCAGAACTATGAATAAGATGAACTACTGACCTAATTTTGGTGACAAGTATAACATCCCTTTGGGGGTGAAGGAAAGACACCGTAGGAGAAGGGACCAAAGACATATATTGCTGTAATTGAATTGAATTTTCTCTTTTCTGCCGCAAAGACTCTGTTAAATATTCTGCCTTCTGCAACTTTATTCTTACTTTCAAGATCCCTATATCATTGATGACAATTAAAATTTACATGTGACAGAGTATTTGTAACACCACAGAAACATGCATATTTTACTATTATTTTACTGCAGGCATTACATTATTGGTACATTATGGTGTTTGGAGCACCAAGAATTCCATCTGTCTTGTGTTATATCTGTAGGTGCAGAAAATTTTACGTGAAAGATTCTGTCACCATTATGCTACTGGAAAACTGTTTGGGATTGAACATCAGTACAGGTGAGTGAGCAGACTCAAATAGTAACTAATTTCTACTTTAACTGCAGTAGAAAAATAATGAGGTGAGGTCAGAATTTACTGCTACCTCTGTTTTTCTAAATTATACAGGCTTAAATGACTTGCAGTGCAATTCTTCTGAAAACTGTTTGACTCGGATTTTAAGAGTTTTGTCCAACTCTTGCTTGCTGTTTTGCCAGGCTCTGAGTTTAGGATTTCTTGTTCTTGTTTCAAATTTGTAATTCCTGAAACACTTTTTCTGAGCCTGAAAGATACTTCTAGTGCATATTTGAAGGTTGTGCTTAATGCGATGACCAAGCAAAAAATTAAATTCTCTTGTTGTGAATCTTTATTTTTACTTGAGATTTTCTCCTGTTTATTGGTGATCTGTGTAAAAAAGTAAATCTTGAACCTTGGATGGCGGCAACATGTTTCTTGAAGCAGAGACCCATATTTAACACAGACCTACTTCTTAGGGTCATCCAGATGTGGAGGTTAAAATTAGGAAGGGCCCTATTGTGACAATAATAGTGTCCTAGTTCTAATCCTTTTATGGATGCAGGCCAAATTCTGAAGATAACAAATGTGTATCTAAAAAACTTCTTTTAAACCATTAGTTTTTCCAAGAGTAGTTTCATGCAAGTTGAATCACCAGATGTGACCGTTAGTTTTCCTTTCCATTACAAGAAGGAAGATAACATTTCTGTTATTAAAAAAGTGTAGTGTAATGTGCATGCAGAGCTCTCACAGACATGTTTATTATTGTTGTGAGAAAATGTACTTCTGTGATGTTAGTGTTCTGCAAAACAAGCCTCCCCTCTTCATACTGGAATTCTGAAAAACAATTCACAGACTACCGCTGTTGGTGAATTATACTGAAAAGACAACACGATGAACGTCCCAGCTCTTAGTTTTTCTTTCCTAAGATGTATCAGGGCTTTTGGCTATAGCTAGCTCTCAAATAGTGAACAAAACCACATGCATTTGCCACAGCTGTTTTGTGATGACTCTTTCAGTCCTTTAGAAGCGATTGCATGATGTCAATATTCTAAGTTAAAAAAAAGAAAAAAAAAAGAAAAAAAAGGCATATTAACTATGCATTTGTAAACATTTGGGAGTTGGAAACGTCAGTAGTTTTTATAAGTACTTTAAATGTAGTACTAGGTGATAAGTCTGAAGATAATTTAGATTTGTTCTTTGTTCCTTCTTTTGGGTGGGAATAGAATATGAACTTTTCCAGTTCAGTATTGCTGTTGCCTTTCACAAGCTTTCAATGCCTAAATTTAGCATATAATCAGTTTTATGGAGATTATCAAAATTAATATATTCCACTAGATTATTCATTTTTACTGGTGTCAATGTTTTCCTTCAATATGTTTGCCCATCTTCCTTTTTTGGGGAACTACGGTGGTATCACAGAAAGCAAGCTTCTTTTTTTTTAAAGAAAGAAATAATTATTGACGTCTGTCCTTTCACGATGGAGAATTGTAGAACTTTATGAATTAATGATACTCCTGACTTCTGCATGTTTTAATATTTTAAAACATTTTAAGAGATCTGATCACTCAGCCTTTTGTACTTTATTGTATTCCATTTTGCATGCCTGGAGTGTTGGCTCTGAGAGCAAGTTGAAATGTATCAAGTTTTATGTTCTAAAGATTCTTTGAATTTTCCGTAGTTTCGGTGAATGTTGTCTGGTTTGAAGTTTTTAACCTATTGCTGTTGTCAACACAGACATCTGCTGGAACTGCTGAAACGAGCTACAGTTAATGGAGAAAGTAATTCTGCCCTCATTATTGGACCCCGAGGATCAGGAAAGACTGCGGTACAAACATATATTAAACGTTTATACAAGGTCAAATTAAGCATGAGGTAGATACCTCACTGAAGTCCTGGGAGCTTTTGGAGCTAAATTTTCATCTTTGCCTGTTTTAAAGAGAATTGCTAATTGTTTCCATACAATTTCAAAACATTCTAGGACTTCTTGTGAGCTAATTCTGTTGAATAACAATATGGGGAGATTGGTTTCTTAACCATCTTCTGTCATTTTTCAAATGCTGAGTTCCTCGTGATTTTGTAAAATAGAATAGCTTCACGTGCAGCTGACAAAAACACGTACCCGTCCATCCTCACAACGACTTGCAGAAGTATGCGTGCTTTTGGAATTCTTTGTGTGTCTTCACCAGGTTTCATGACATCCCGCAGGTACCCAAAACATGTAAAATTGACATAATTTTATCAGAACAAGTTGCATTTGCCGTTCAGTGATCTAACTGCATCACGGATTCTGCCTTCTTTCAGCATTTCTCCTATTGTATATTATGGCTGAAAAGGCATCCAAAAACTGTAAAAGGACTAGACTAAAGGGTGGATTGCTACATAGCTGTTTATACATAGAGAACAGGAAGATACCTTAATCCTGCTTCAAATGTGTCATTGAACATCGTTACCTAAATTGCTAGGAAGTAGAATATTGCACAGTAGTTCAACTTTACAAGTGTAGGTTTTGTATTTTAACGGAACTCTTTTCAGCTGAGGCATGTGAAGAGATGACATCTAGCTAAAGTGTTATATACCTTAATATCCAAACACGTAAGTCTTTTATGTTTATATATGTAATGTGATAAATAGGTTGGCTGTTACTGCAAAAAGTATTCAAGATTGAAAAAATTAAAAAATTACTTCGAAGTCTTCCCAAGTGCTAAAACAAGTGACCTTCAAGCTTTTAAATGCAGTTGAGTAAAAATAAGTTAATAGATGGGACATGTATCCATGATACAGCTGACACCAATCATTTTGCCAATTTGTTGATAGCTTTCTTGTTTTGCATTTCAAAACCAGTCAGTATTGTTACATTCTTCTATTACCCATGATGCTTCAGAAGCATAATTGCCAAAATACTGTGGAGTGGTGGTGGGGAAAGAGCTGATAAACCAGTGGCAAATGAGGATTCTTCCACCTGTGTGCTTCCTGCTAGTCTTGAACAGGAACTTATTTTTCCTTTATTAGATTTACAGATTTGTAAGCAAGCAACAAGCACTCATAGCGCAGAAAATAGTTTAGATGTCCTTGTATTTGCAGCACAGACTTTCAAGGAACAGTTGAGATTGTTGGATAAGGGGCTAGCTGGAATGGATGACATCTGCTTATTGGGCATAAACTTGAGAAACCAAGGGAATAAGCTTTTTTGTTCCAAGTATCCGTATAGTCAATGTTAGCACTTGTAGTAGGAGTCTAACTGTATCTGCTGCTAAAGACAGTATCAATAGAAAAGTATGGATGAGCTCTATACTGTAAACAAATTGGAGTAAATGTGAACATTTTTTTTAAAACCCACAACAGAACGATCCCCCAACACCATGTGTGTGTCCCCCCTGCAATCACCAGAACTATTTTTATATTTTAATTAAAGTTTAAGTTTTCTTCCAAACCTCTTACATAAGGATAGTAAAGATGAAAATCTGTGATCCTTCCTGCCAGAATATAAGTGAGCAAATCGTGTTATGTGGAATGAATGATTTTCTTATTCTATATCAAGTGAAAGATGTCAGTTCTCAAAGAAGACTGCTGGAGACAAGGAATTGTATGTGTTTATATAAGTATATATGTGTTTATACATATACATAGATGGGAACTGCAATTCCTCAGGTGAGGATGGAAAAGCAAAGCAGCAGCAAGTGGATGAAAAGTTAACATTTCATCTACTTTTATGTATTTTAATACAAGTTCCTTAGGACTTTTACCAAGAACAAGTTCTTGATGAACTGCAGATTTGGAAACCGTAAGTTTTATAAGCGGTAGTTGATGTAATTATGTGCAATTTAATTTTGTCTCCTGCTTCCTAACTTCAAGAGGAAAAGAATAAGCATAGTGTTTTTAAAGATGTAAAGCAAAGACTTTTGTTCTGCAACATCTAATGAAGCCAAATACTATAGTAACTCAAGAGGCAAACGCTCACATGTCAGACTCGTAAAGCACTTTTTCATGAAGGGAAGAGCCCTAGATACTACCCCCGAAAATGGGTGACTAAAATACTGAAGTTATTTTTAAGTTTCTTTCCCTATTAATTCAGCAGAACGGACAAATGCAATTGCTACGGTCATGACAGTGAATACGAAGTTGTCATTTTAGTATTTTAGTCTTGAAAATGCTCAAAACCATTGTTACCTAATGAAACTGCACATACTGTTTCCTATGTGATAATATCTATTTGTACACTTTTCTTACTGTTAATAGATTAATCTTCTTATAAAGAAATGATGTATTTTTTTTCCCTAGTTGTTAAACCAGGTTTTAAAAGCGGTCAGAGAAATGCAACAGGCTAAAGAGAACTTCTTGGAAGTTCACCTGAATGGCAAGTAATACAGCATTATTCAAATTTAATGTTGTAATGAGTCGCTATATACTGTATGTCCTGAACACAAATTTGGGTTTTGGCAATTGCAATCTAGCCTCAATTACAGACACGTTTGTCCGTGAGCTCCAAAATGCCTTTCTTGGTATCTCTATATAAAGACAACTTTGATGCTTTTAATGACTTTTCAAAATGTTAAAAATCAGTTCAGTTGTGACCAAATTGTTTTAAGTAACTTCTTATTACATATGGAAAATTAGTGTCTAGCCTTTTGTAAAAAAGGCATAGCTTTGTAAGGCTGAAAATGGAGAGAAGCTTCTGGATAAGTTTCTGGTGGCTGTAGGCATGGCCTTGACATGGAGTGAAGGGGAACTGCCAGTTCAGGAAAAATAGTGTTGGGTTTTTTTTTTTTTTTTTCAGGGCTTCTGCAGACTAATGATAAAGTGGCCCTGAAGGAGATCACCAGGCAGCTGCAGCTGGAAAATGTGGTTGGGGATAAAGTTTTTGTAAGTATCATCAACTTCATTATACTCTTCGCTTATCTCCCTCAAAGATCCTTGCCTAGAAAACTAGCTTTATGGAATGCAGCTTCTTGAGACTGAGTGGGCTTTGAGAGTTTATTGGCAAAATTGCAATGGGCTGGCTCAGTCCCCTCAAAGCTTTCTCTTTTAAAATATTTAATGACAGTAGTGAACTGTGGCAGCCTTAGAGAGGGACAAAGAATGAAAAGGCTCACTTAACATTTACTTCAAGCCTCTAAATGAAATGAACGTTAAGCGTTATGAAAAGACTTTGTTCAGAGGGGTATTTTGGAAAAATTAGCTTTAAGGTTTCAAGAGAAAGAATAAGGAAGCTAACCAGCCGAAAAGCGGTTTCTGTAGCATATTTGCAACCTTTTCTAGTCCATAGAGAAATCTATCCAGCCTTCCTCGAGCTCTCATTTTGCAGAGAGTTTCTATTAAAATACTTGCATCTGTTGATCTTTCCCCAAAGAAGCGAAAGTCATTTACATTAGCACTAAAGTCAAAAAGAAAGAGAATAACTGGAGTGCTTCCGATAAACTTTCACTCATTTGAGCGTGAAGTAGCTTGGGCTGGTGATCTGAGCTACCCTGGTTGTCGCCTGTTACTCGGTGAGTGTTCTTGAGAGGCCACCTTCTGGCCCGACAGAAGGTCCTTGTGAGCACCATCTCCTCCTTTGCTCCCAGGTAGGGCCTTTGAGATGGGCAGTTTGCGTAGTTAAGGCATCTGTAATACTCATCCAAGTGGCTAAAGCAGAATTATGAGAGGGGAGAAGGGTGAAGTCTCAGTAGACGAGGTTTATTTTCAGCAGTTGCGTTTGGAAAGCTGAAGAGATAAGATGTTACTGCTTCAGTTGGAGACCAGAGAAGTAGGTTAGAGGCAGTGTGGAATACAAGATGAAGTGTAGATTGTAGTTATTAGGCTTTATTATCTTTTGGAAATGCTTGCTTCTTAGGCTGTGCTTTGGTTTCTTACTTATCCCAAATAATTTTAGACACAGAGAATGGAAAACCCTTTCTGGTGGCGAGCTAAAATTTTCCCAAATACAGCTGCGGTAATAAAAGGAAATAGCAAGTGTTTAATTTCAGCCCAGCTGTCTGAATGAGTTGTCTTTTCAACAGAGAACTAGAGCAAACTTTCAGGGTCCACAGTTCCACTACGAAAAATGCTGGAGGCAAAGCTGGACTTAAATATGCTTACTTCCCCTATAATTTTCCTCCATTAAGTTGTTGTGGAGGACTACTCTAAACTCTTAGCCCTTTGGTTGCGCACGGGCCCGGAAACATACTGATTTGCAGGAATGTCCTTACTTCTCTTGACAGAAGCTTTTCCTTTCTTAGCTTCTGCAACTTTCATTCAGAGGGTAAATTGGCTTTTCTGCCCTCTTTGATAGGGCTCGTCTTCAGTTATAGTGATTTCCCATCTCACAACTTGTGTGCCTCAGTGTGTGGATGTGTAACTGAAGCAGGATGGTCATAGCAATTCATTGCTTTCTGTTATAAATGTTCGATGGTTTCATCTATCTAATGGGGTTGCAGATTAGAAACTACACTGTGATCATTCTCAGTGGAACACGTTAGGTGGCAGTTTTTGCATGTGTGCAGATGGAAAATGAGTATGCAATAGCTAAGGAAAGATAAAGCTACTTGTAAATTTAGCTTATTGTAGAAGTTCTTTTGATCGCTAATTTCTTCCCGTCTGAGGTGATTGGTTTGGGGTTTTCGGTCTGGAAGAAAGTGTAGAGTTAACTATCAGTTTTCTTGTCCCGAAAGAGTTACGATTTTACAACATGAAGTGATGTAAATTTTTGAACATGCACTGGTTTTGAAAGCGGGGTTTTAGGAGGAGGTGGCCTTTGTTACATGCCTGAACTTGTTGCAGTTACACAATTCGGAGAATGACACTGAAAATCTCTTGTGAAACTTTTTTTTTCTTGTCTGCGTAGGGCAGTTTTGCTGAAAATCTTGCGTTCCTCCTCGAAGCTTTAAGGAAAGGTAAGCGCTAGTAGCCCGTGTTCTGAAACTGGCTGTGTGTCACTTGACTAAAAAGTTAGCATCTACGTGTTTTTTTTTTAATCTACTTGTATAAGTGGTATGAAGAAATCTAGCCCAAGAATGTGTCATGGTTATGAAATAGTGTGAAAAATATGTAACACTAAACAAACATATCTCATGCCATAAAGGCTGCCATGGAATGGTCAGCTATGAAGGACAGATTCTTTTATCCAGATTGAATCTACCATAAATAACGCTTGTCAGAATACTACAAAACCTTACCAATTTTTCAGTGTATTTTTGCTTTTTGCTGTTGTAGCAGTACGTATGTGAAAGGAGGGCTTAGTGAAAAGCTAAAAGAAAACATGTAAATTGTTAAAAGTGGGATTTGTGAAAGCTCTCGAGATAGAAATCCGATGATGCAGTTACCCATACTAACTTTTGAAATTGCTGTCTCAGGAGATCGAACTAGCAGCTGTCCAATCTTGTTTATACTGGATGAATTCGACTTGTTTGTTCATCACAAGAATCAGACGCTGCTCTATAACCTCTTTGATACATCCCAGTCAGCACAGACTCCAGTAACAGTTATTGGACTTACATGTAGACAGGTGAGAAATTGCACTTGCTCATTCGAAGTTTTTAGCTGTCTTAAAGAGGCTTTTGTCTTAGCTGGAACGTTTTCTCCTCTCCTCGAACCTTAATTTACTACGAGACTTTTCTCAATAATCCATTTTTCTGACTTTTGACTTGGGAAGGGATTAAAAAAAAAAATAAATTTGTGCTGAGAGCAAATTTAGATGACCAAAAAATGGCAAAGCCTTCGATTTTACTGCTAGAGGAGCTGGTTTACATTTCTAAGGAGACATGAGGCTGGTGTCCTATATTACCGGAGAAGAGCCGTGTGTATCTGTGTGGCTGTGCTACATTACGCTGTTGTTCACTCTTCAGAGAGGCTGCTGGACATTTCCATTGCTTGGTCAGCAATTGGTAAGAACAGTCTTGTATTAACCTACAGTGTTTAAATCGTTCTTCTGAGAACAAGGACTTGTTCTTAAGCAAACACTCGAGTAGGGCACTTCTGCTATAATATTAGTGGGTTTGAAATAGGTTTAGGATCCATGTTAAATTTGCTGTGATTTTTACAATGACATTGTAGGGAGCGGTGGACAGATTATGTATATATTGTGAAGTAATTACTTTGTAACACTATGGAAGAGGATACTTTATAAAAATTACACTGTTTTTTTCTCAATAAACTGGATTGGTGTTGAATATAGCTGGGTTGTGACAAGAAAAAGAGTAACTAAAATCTTTCATTTAAAGCCTGAATCTGGGGTTGATTGGGTTTGGGTGATGCTTAGCTGGGCAAATTTCTGGAAGCTAATAGAATAGCAGTGGATTTAGGCAATGCCAGTCTTTTTGCTTCGTTACTGTCCTGTGGCATCACCCGTCATTTAGAACTGTGTGTTGCTCTGCTTTTGCATAATTAAGGTGGAGTCCTCAGAGGCTGTACCATGGTTGTGGTGATGGCTGTTCCTTCCGAGCTGTTTTTAAATCACAGGTCCCTGTGGCACGTGACTTCTAAACCAAGAGGGGTCTTTATGTTTGGCACTGTTGACTCTCTGTTTACTCTTATCAATCTGGTTTTGGTGAGGAATTTCAGTATTCTTAAAGCCCTCTTTTAGTGCAAGTGAAATCACCGGAACCGACACGCAACGTTTAAAAAACAAAAAGACCCACCCAAAATTCCCAGAAAGTGGGAGCGTAATCATTCTGTCCCGGTATGAGGTGGGGGAATGGGACTGTGTTTCTCTAAACGGATGATTCCCACGGCGTGTTTCTGGTGCTGGCTTATTGCAATGTATTCTGAGAAAAGTGAGCTTTTCTCTAGTATCTTCAACAGCAACTTGATGGCAGGCTCGCTTAGTTCTGTGTGACAATCTTTAAAGAGAAAGACTGGCTCTTAAGTTGGTTGGGTTTTTTTTGTTTTTTTTTTTTTTTTTTAAGGCTGGATTCTTCCAGTCTGACAAAAGGCATGTGAACTGACAGCTGCCAACGTACGTATCTACTAAATAGACAACTTGTCTAGAGCCACGATAGGCTGAAACATCTTGAATGCAGACTTAAGTAACAAATATTTACATAATCTATGGAGAAATTTTGCTGGGTATCCTAGCAACTAATTATCCTGTATGATGTAGTGCATCACATGATTGGGTAAGTGGCTAGTTGTTAGGCATTTCAAGGCACATCAATTATAATAATTAGCAGAGGTCTTGTTAGAACATTTTAAGCCCGAGACTTTCATAATTCTTTATTTTTTTCAACATGATTTACTTTGGTGTTTTCTCTTGTAGTTTTGACTGGAGCAAAGAATGTACTGAATGCATCTGCTTTTATTTAATTATTGATTTTACTTTTTTTAACAAGGATATCCTGGAGCTCTTGGAGAAGAGAGTAAAATCAAGGTTCTCTCACCGACAGATATATTTGATGAATTCCTTTGATTTTAAACAATACCTTATGATATTCAAGAAACAACTTTCCCTTCCTTCTGGATTTCCTGATGAGTCTTTTGCACAAAAATGGAATAGTAATGTTCAGGTATGTAAAGCTCTTTATACTTGGTTTTAGTAAAACTACCAAAGTCAGACCAGCTTAGAAGTGTAAAGCCTTTACCTAAGATTAATACTTCCTTTCACTGTTTGAGTTTGATATGGAATAAATCCAACTGTGATAGAGACTTTTTGCTTATTGGAGTCTGGAGGTAAAATCAGAAGTGCCACAAAAAAAGACCAGAAAGTTAAGGTTAGACGTGAGGAGTTGTATTGTCAAGCGTAAGCTGAGCTTTTTCTGACGGTTAGCTAACTTATTTTTTCAGGTGACTATGAAATGATTTGCTGAGATTATTAAAATATCACTTAAATATATATTTTTTAGCATCTCTCAGGGGATAAAACCGTGAAAGACATGCTGGAGAATCTTTTTCACTACACTAAAGATCTGCGCTCCCTTCGTTTGCTGTTGGTATGTATTTCGATATGTATAGATCTTCTTGATTTACAATAATCAGTAACCACCACTTGTGTTTTTCAAGCCAGTTATCTGAGCTTTAGTTAAAAACATCTTTTTATTCAGTGGGTTTTTGGCAGTACTGGTTTCTTGCATGCTTTATCAGTCCATGCTTGATTGATGAATTTGAGTAGTTCCAGTTTCTGGAGCAGTTACATTGTGAAGGTGTACTGTTATAAGTGGTGGTGGGTCTTTGGTATTTTAAATAAATTTTACCAAGTCTTTCCATTTATAAAGCAAAACTGTAGTGAAGTACTTTCAAAATATTTTTTCCTTTATGAGATTGTTTTTTGGTTGCTGATGAATCCTGAAAACTGCCTGTACCGAAACCCACTTTTTCTACCTTTAAGTCTGTTGTTGCAGCCAAATATTCCTCCATTCCTCCTCTTTCACTAAATCTGTTGCTGTGCTAAACCTGCTTCCCTCCATCAATGTCTGTCTGGCTTCAAAGATCAATACGTTTTGGTGCCATTTTTTTACTATGTTTTTTTTACTGTATTCTGGCATCATCTTACGCTCTCCACTTTTTCTTCCTCCTGACACTGTTCGAGTTTGTCTGTGTTCTTGGCCTGCTTCTCTTGAGCTACTCTAGAGTAACTCTTTGTGTAGGTATATGCACTTTTGACATAAAAGCATCTGCTGCGTTTGGAATGACTGTCCCTTAGAGCTAACATTTGTTATTGTCATCCCTCTTTCTGCTCCTCCTCCTTCCTAAACTGTTGCTCTTGCTACGATGCTCCTGAGCACAGATTACTCATTTGTGGGCTAGCTGCTCCTGGATACCTCTGGAGTAAGAACATTCCCACCTATCTACAGTCTTGGTATTCACCTAGAGGAAACGCTTTTGTTTTCTTTTATTGCTTCCAATTACTTAAACAGAGTCTCAGGTAAAATCCCTTTATGAACTGTATGATGAGGCACTGCTTTTTTTCCAGAGCTGGCTTCGTATGTGGAGCAATCCAGGTAGCCCAGATGCTGTCCTCAATTTGTCCGTTGCTGTGACGCTAGTCCAGGAAATGGGATCTTAATCTTTTAAATCTTGAGGTGCTGGAAGCTTGAGGCTCCTAATCCCTAGAAATACTGAGAAAGTAGTTAATATTGATCTGCCGAATAACCGCGTTATCTGGCACCAAGGGCCTGAGGAAGCTTTCAGAATTCTACTTGGTAGCTTCAACCTCTCCCAGTTACGTTAGGGGAGGGAAGGAAGGCCTCCTCACTGAGGAGAGAAATTAGGCTGCTGCCTCCCTGCTAACTCTGAGGGAAGACTTCTGCACACAGTAAGTAGGAGGTAATGCTGAGAGCAAACTTCCTCCTATCACGACAAATGAGCTGAAGCTTAACCACGTGGTCAGGCTCTCTTGGAGGGTCTCTTTTTAAAATAATTTGCCTCCCTCGCTTCTGTTTCTTAACACGGTTAATATGAAGGCAACAACAGTTATTACAGAAGATAAGTAACACTTATTTAACAGTCTCAAAAGATCTGTGTGCTTCTGTCGGTGTGAAAAACCCACTAAATGTACCTGCTTATCTCGTGTTGTGCAAGTATTCAGCTTGAACCTTCAGCTCTCTGGTGGGTTGTTCTTGGACTCTTCAGTGCCAACAGCTTTTCCCAACGCTGCCTTTACCTTTACAGCTGCTCTGGAAACCAGATCATAGACCTCCTGCGCCGCTTCTGAAACGCAGAGCGTGACCAGAGTCCCCTTCTTGGCAGCCCTCTGTTTACTTGAGTTTGTTACAAGATCGCAGATGATTTCTAGCTTAGGGGCACCCAATTCTGTGTCTGTGGCTTGAAGGAACGCCAGAAAAAGAGCTGCTGCCTCTGAGTAGCCTCCCTTCAAGCTCCAAGGTGTGTCAGAGCTGAGGCTGAAGTTCCTAATTGTTTTCTTCAGCATGTTCTGAATATTTCTTTGAGAAAGGGGCTTTTTCACTCTGAAGTCATCTTGCTCATAAAAGTATAAAATAGATTCCAGCCCTGCTGTAATTCTTTTGTATTAGCTGAAGCGTGGATTAATTGCCCTGCAGGATGAATGTTTCTTTAATTTTGAAAACCTGCGGGAGTCTGCCGTACGAGCTGGTGAGAGAAGCTTTGTGATGGGCAGTGGTGAGAACTGGAGCCACCCTTGCGGATTACCCGCATTTTGGGAGCGAGGACCTGTTTCCACTGACGAGCCTTTTTTAAATTACGCGCGGTGCTCCCCACCACTTCGCCGTGTCGGATGAACACGTGCGTTCTCAGAGGACACTTAGTGTCTGTTGCCTGTTGCAGGACCCTAAATGGTGTCACGTGAAACGTTGAACCTCGGAAGAATGGAACAAGTTGAGTGTTTTAGCAGAGTAAAATTACTTATTTGAAGTAGGTTTGTTTTAACTAGATGTTACCAGCTAGTTATTTCTGCTTACACGTGGAAGTAGAAATAACTAGTGGGTAAAAATCCAGTTTTGCTTTTGGTGAATGCTGTTTCCCCGTGGTTCCTCTCGTGTGAGTGACTCCGTGCACTCAGCTGCTCACCTGCCTGGTACCCGGAGGGGCGGCGGGCGCTGCGTGCTCCAGGCTCCGCGCGGCCGGTCCCTGCTCCTCACAAACAGCTCCAGCCCTGCACCAGAGGGGCACCGACCCACAGGCGATACCGCCGTGTTTCCTCCACTTCTTCCCATTTTGCACGTCCGCTGGTGACTCAGGGCTGGCGTTTCTTTACCTTCCCTTCCTTCCCAGTCCAAATTCCCTTTACAGTCTCCAACCTCATTCTGTACCTTTACAAGTCCAAACGGTGGTGCAGCTTTTTTGAGGCTTTTTGACATTGAGAAGGAGAGAAAGAGGATTGGGAAGGGCTGGTGGTAAGACAGCGTTGCGTTCTCAGTGGCAGACAGATTAAATAAACAGTTTTTCATCACACAGGCCTGCAAAAGTAGGAGGTAGTCACTAAAAGCCATTTTTCCTGACGATGACTATTAAATGATGAAGTATTTACAAATCTTGTAAAGCCCTGAAGAGCAAGTGCAGGTCACTGCAGCGTGCCTGCTGCTGTGCAACGGCTTGTGGATAATCGGTACCGTCAGAAGAGGTCAGTTAACTCTGTCTTAATGAACTTACCTCTCTTCAAACCTCACTTGCTGCACCAGGCAGTTGAAGATTGTTAACGAGTTGGTTTGCAACTAGGGGGAGACTTGAGCAAACGTGCCGGAGGGGCAGCTGGTGTTCTGCAAACCGAGAGGCGACACTGCCCGAGCGAGCGCTGCCGGTGCCGTGCGTGCGCTGGGGCTCTGCACAGAGGTGTGCTTGAAATGGGTGTGAGTCGTTCTTCCAGCAAGCACTGAAACACGCTAATCCACCCAAAAGGAATGTAAACAAGTTAATGAGCGTTTATCTCCTCTGGTGAGGAGGCTTTCAGGTTTTAAGCCTGGAAAACCTTCCTGGCAAAACGTGGTTGTAGCTACCAGCTGTTCAGAAGGGTTTTGGTACGAAGCTGCTGTGCGTAGGGTTTATTCATTAATGGTTCCAGTCGGTGACTCCAGGGGAAATGTGTTCTTCTGCATTCCATCTCCGAGCAGAAAGCGTGGCGGGTAATCAGTAATTAAATGAAAAATGTCTTCTGCTTTCTTTTTAGATGCTCGCTGTAAGTAACGTTACCGTGCATCACCCACTTATCACTGCATCAGATCTTCATGAGGCAAGCAAGCAGTACAGAACAGACTCAAAGGCAAATATTGTACACGGTAAAGCTCTGCTGTTTCCCCCGAGTGTTTCTTGGGAGCGTGGAATGTGTCGAGTGCCCCCCCCCCCTGAAATTCCCCAGCTGTAGGGGATGTGCGCAGGGCAGCGGCTCCCTGCTCACGCACCTGCGAAACCCGAGCGTGCCCTTGAACTCTGCTGAAATATCTTGCTTTTTTTTTTTTTTTTTTTGATGGAAGCAGCCCGTTTCTTAACGTTCTTGCTTCGAATATCTGGAAAACAAGTGTTCTCTTATCTGGCCTCCCCAATTGTGTTGTGGATCTTCATGATGTAAAAAAATAACACAGATCGGTGAGGTGTAGAAAAATAGTATGTGATCTGCTTATGTTTCTGATACGCTTAAGAAAAATATTTAGAGCTCTTGTCTTTCCCCCTAGGTTTGTCTGTCCTGGAAATGTGCCTAATTATAGCTATGAAACACTTAAATGACGTTTATGAAGGAGAACCATTTAACTTCCAGATGGTTTACAACGGTGAGAGAAACGCACAAACTTCGCAAGCTCGGGGTCGTGTACTTTCCCCTAGCTAACTCTTTACTCTCCCCGTTACCGATACAGAATTCCAGAAGTTCGTACAACGGAAGGCTCATTGTATGTACCACTTCGAAAAGCCAGTTGTCATGAAGGTAAGCCTGAAATGCAAGATTTTTGTTACGCTGGGAAGAGTTGGGGAAGCTTAACTGCCTCGGGGCCGGGGTTGGGCAACACGGACTGTGTGGGAAATGGCTTCCACGAGGGAGGGGGGTGGGGGTGTGGGTGGGGGTGTGGGCATCTTCACCTTGCTCGGTCAATCCAAAACGAAAAATCAATCTTACCACATCCCAAATCTGCTTTGCTTAAAGCGAGGGGTGGGGATGGGGGGGCCGTGGCCCTGCTGGAGTGAAGGGAACCCGGCGGCTTTTCTGCCCAGCAGCCTCCGTGCTGGTCGCTTACCCGGGCTGGAAACCGCGGCGCGCTGCCCGCGCTCCTGTAATGGGCTCTTCCAGTTTGCTTCCCTGAGTAACAGGGTCGTTCCCAGGCAGTTACACGCACACGGATTTCAAACCCTAGTTCTCTTAAGAAGAAAAGTGAAGGTAAAACGGAGCTGGGGTTTAAGGTCTGTCTGTCTGTGCCAGCTGGCTGTCAGACCAGCGGCTCGCTCACTCAAAACAGCCCCTCACGCTGCTCTCTTCCACTGCCTCATTCTTTTTTTTTTTTTGTTTTTTTTTTTGTCTTTGCTTTTTTAGGCATTCGAACACTTACTACAACTGGAATTAGTAAAACCCATAGAAAGACCCTCTGTGCGTGCTCAGAGAGAGTACCTCTTAATGAAACTGCTCCTGGACAACAATCAGATCATGGATGCTTTGCAAGTATATCCCAACTGCCCCACGGACGTGAAGCAGTGGGCAGCGTCGTCCCTCAGCTGGCTCTGAGCTTTCGGGAACTCGTAAGGTCACTTTTTCCATCAAAACTTTTGGAGTCAACTGTCAACGCCAGAAGATGGAAAGGTTACCCACAGGAGGCTGGGGGGGGGGGGGGGGGGCGGGTCAGATTAATAAATTTTTGGAAGCAGCTTGCTTTTGCAGAGAGATTTTGGGTTTTTAAGGAGAGCTAGATTGGGGTTCTCTTCTACTGGCTGTAAAGGTGAGTGAGGAACTTCTGCACTCGGCTTTCCTCTCACCCCCCCCCCCTTTCCACTGTGTAGGACCCAAAGCCCCCGGCGTTCCTCCAGCGTGGGTTACAGCCACGTTAGCTGCTGGGGGGCCCGTGCAGTTCAAAGCTCCTACTTTGTGTAGTTTTTCTTCTCAAATTTGACTTGCCAGAGAAAATTGACATCATTAAGCCTCGAGGCGCACCTGGTTTGGGGTGGTGTAGGGCCAGGGGGGTGCTCCCCAGGGGCTGCAGGGTGACTTCGAAGTGGCTTTAGGGCTGGGGGGAGTGAGTGAGGAAGAGGAGGGTGCAGAATAGGGTGTGTGGACATCCCTGGGAGCGGGGGAGGTGTGTGTTACGGGGCCGGGTGGCAGCTGAAGGCGGCTGTGCAGAAGGGGCCTGGCAGGTGCTGCTGGCTCCCCCCAGGAGTAAGCTCCTGCTGGCTCTTCCCTCTAAGCCCAGCCTCTGGCTTTTTTAGTGGCCCAGGGGCTTCAGTCTGGCAAAAACCTGAAGCAAAAAAAAAAAAAAACAACAAAAACCAAAACCAACCCCTGGAGCCCTTTTCCTCTGGCTCTGTGCCCAGCCCCCTGTTGTGGGCTCTCTGCTGCTGCTCCCTCGGGGCCCTGTGTGTCCCTCGCCCTCAGCAGGAGCCAGGAGGGTGGCAGGGACCTGCCTCCCTGCCCTGCAGCTCCCCCCCTCCCTGAGTTTCCCGAGGGGTGGTGTGTAAATGACAATTACCCAACTCTCCCCAGCTCGTGGTGAAGCTCAGAGTAACTCCGTGCTGTAAGGAAGGGGGTCTCCCACCCCCCCTACCTAAAATGTGCTGGAAATAAGGTAAAAGCTTTACTTTCACAGAAGAGTTGCAGCTCTTCTGTGGCTTCAGAACTGCGTCGCTTCTACACAGTCAGACTACAAGTAATTTAAAAAAAGGCATGGATACAAGGTGTAGTAGTCACATTTTTTATTTTAACTTTTCAGGGGGATAGGGGAGAAAGAGTATACATTTTTATTTGTACAATATTTAACAATCACTTTATTGGGGGGGGGGGGGGGGTGGGGAGGGTTGGTTTGTTTTTAGTACTTGCAGAAAAACAGCAAGTACCTTCTGACAGTAGTACAACAACCTGTGCCCAAAACACTGACAAATACAAAGAGTAAAGTTAAAATAATTGCTTACCAAAATCTTGAGAGGTAACGAATAGTATATATGGACTGAAACGGCGTTAAAAAAAAACAAAATAAAAGGAAAAAAAAAAGAAAAAAGAAAAAAAGTACTGCTGGTTGAGTATCTGAGGTAAATGATGTTCCATCAAGGATGCTACTTGAATCATTTTGCCCATGAACGCGTATTGCAGCTTTCTGCATTTTGTACCAAGTGTTCCTAATAAAAGTAACCGGATTGAAAAAAAGAGAAGCTGGAAAAAAAAAAAAGAACCAACTGGTAACCCTCTTTCTTCTGTCAAAAGCTACTGGGAGCAGGAGAGTCTCGTTACTGCCTGGCTGGGGTTGGGTTAGCACTCCCCACGGTGTTTGAAAACGCCACGGACTCGTTGAAGACCTCGGCCAGAAGGTGCGAAGCGTCGGGCAGGACAGGGGCAGGGGGAGGTCGGGGCTGCTGCCAGGGCTCAGGAAGCACCGAGGGGCCAAGGAGGGGCCAGGGGCTCCCCCAGCCCTGTCAAACACAGCCCGGCATCCCGCCCTGCCAGAGCACTTCTGCTCTGACCACCCTTCTCCCAGGGACGCTGAAGGCTGCTGCTGAAGAGACCAGGAAACTGGGAGGAGGACGCTATTCAAACCGGGTGCTTTAATTTAAAAGATGAGGTGGGGTTAGGGGGGGATTGTGCCGAGGGGAGGCCCAGCCAGCACCGGGCGTCCTCCCCCAGAGCTGAAGTTTAAAGGGTAAGCCGCATTTTAGTCCTGACCCAACTTTTGCAACAGAGTTACCAAATACGGGATGAAGTAATTACTGAAACCATCCGTATTTACTGGTGTTGGTGAAGGGGTTCAAACTCCGGGGGAGCACAGGCGGCTTCGCTGGAGTACAAACTCAACAGCTACGTTCATGTCCTGCTGCGCGCGGGGAGCCAGGGCCCCAGCTTAGAAACAGCGGCACAATTAAAGCATCAAGCGAAGCAGCGGCCACAAATTAGATTTTTTTTTTTTTTTTTTTTTCTTTTTTTAGAGCTGAGCTGCACCACCCCCAGCTGTGCCCCTGGGGCAGCCCTGCTGCCCTTCCCCACCCCCGGCCTGCTGCCCTGGGTCTCGTTCAGCCGTGACGTCTCTGACTGTTCCCAGAGATGGAGTTCACGGACGGGTAAAACCGCGAGTAGCTGGTGGCTCTACAGCTCAGTTTAAGATGACGTTCACAGCCAGCTCCTACCTGCAACATTAAAAGCTCCTCTCGAGAGGGGGCGAACGCAGGGCGTAAAACCAAAGAAAACAAGGACAGAAGACGCAGCACGCTACGAGCTAGTGGCGGTTCCGTACTCTAGAGGTTGATGAAATTTATTTTACGTGGAGGTTTGCGTAAGGGATCGTCAAGTGAACGCGGTGAAACAGGAGAAGCACTTTGGCACCTACCTACCAGTCACTCTGTGATCGGAGGAGGCGGCGTGACTTCCTAAACCCGAAAAGAAGGGTGGAGGTGGGAAAGCAGTTCCGATGATTTTCCTCAGTTTCTGTGAGCCCGTGCTATGGACATCGGCATTCGTTACCTCTAAATAGTCATTGCATATTTGAAGTTGTGAGCGTTAACTAAATTATCCCTGAAATTTGTAAGCGTTTGTGATCTGAAATCTGCGGCTAGAATTTTTTCGTACGATTCCAGGATAAGCCTGGTTGTAGCACAGACAGGGCTCCGGTGAGATGGCACCAAGCTTGGAGGGGAGAGAAGTTGCGGCTCTCCGAGCAGAGAGTAAGGAATTGGGGGGTAACTGAGCTTCCTGAGGTGATCCTGAAACAGTGATACAGAACCCACTGCATACTGTTTAGTGAAACAGAAAACACACGCTAGGCAGACCTTGTCACAAACATAAATAGGAAAAAGACTTCTTTAAAAAAAAAAAAAAGAGAACAAGAATTCAGAGCTTTCCAGTGTCACAGCTCACAGAGAAATTAAAAAAAGTCATGCTTAAGTTTTCAACTATTCCTCAGACACAGCAAACCTAAATAGTATTCAGTTAAATAAGTGTATGAGATATTCTGGGAAATGGAGGAAAGAGAAAAGCTTTAAACTAAAACAGGAAGGAAAATTTTGTTTCAATAAACAGCACTTTTTTTTTTTCTTTATACACAACAAGCTAGTACAAGAAAAGGCTAAAAACACTGCTTTAGGAATGGCCATTTACTGTTGGCATGAAGCATAGCTTACCCTTCTTAAATAACACAGTGAATTTGAAATACATCATTTACAAAACATGGATCGATTTATTATTCAAATTTTGTTAGTGTTGTCAATCTCATAATTTAGCGGAGGTGGAACTGAGGTATACCTTGTTGAGGGAGGTTAAGTAATACTTGGAAGCCTCTTTGCTATATCCCACTTGATTACTTTTGTTTATGTACACTGAACAGCAGCACACTAAACATTCACAAGCTGTGTCATATTGGCATTACAATAGTCATTTTTATATAAACAACAGCAAATGCAATAAAAACAAGTTACCCTTTTTTTTCTTTTTTTTTTTCTTTTTTTTTTTTTTTTTTTTTAAATCTGAAATGAAATGTTTGATTTAAAAAAAATAACAGTAGTTCATTTAAGGAATTAGTCTCTTCTGACAGGTATTAAGAAATCTGATGTCAGTTTTTAAAACGCTTGATTAGCCAGTCCAGGTCCATAATTCTTCATTTAAGCTCCTCAACAGCGCGTTCTCGTTTCTCAGTCACACACGTCCTTCAGGTGTAAGCGGGGAATGCAAAAAGTCTCATGGATCCACGGTCGGGAGGAGGAAGGGGGGGAAAATAAAGGAGAAAAAAAAAAAAAAAAAACCAACAAAAAAAAAAAAAAAACCAAACCAAACCAAAAACCAACCACCTCTTGCTGATGTTCCGGAGAGACTTACCGTTCTTTGCACCCAGCGACGCCGTCAGCGGTGCCGACGCTTCAGCAGCTCCAGCGAAGAGTCCCGGCGGTCAGCGCCACGGCCGGTGCGACTATCATAGGCTGGATTCTTTGGGAGGAAAGTCAACGTTGGTCACCATTGTGACCACAGTCACGATGTCCTCTGTCGTGATAATGTTAGTGAGTTTTTGCATCTGAATAATCCGTTCTTCCACGCAACCCGCCGACAGCCTGGCTTCCGCGTCGTGATCCCAGCACTCCTCTATGGTTTCACAAAGCATCGCCATGCCCTGCGCAAGAACCAAGCCGGGAGACAGCGTTAGCACCGAGTTTTAGGAGCCCAGCAGTTCTGAGAGAATACGCGCGTTTTAAGGCACGCCTGCTGAACTTGAACCCTTCTGTCCAACGGGGAGCTGGGCCCTATTTGTTTGGAAGCCCGGCACGCCACCCGGGGCCTTACGCCTTGTTTACTTCGCACTAGTGAAAACAATTTTAAAAGGAAATCCTCGCCGCGCCAGCAGGCTACAACACCGTCAAGTCCTCGTGGTGTTGCAGAGGATCTGCCGGTGAAGGAGGTTAAGTTCTTCCGTGGTCAGATGAAACTTCGGTGAGAAAAATCAAAGAGGACAAAAGGGGATTTATATCTGCCGGCAGAGGAATTTTCTCCAAAGTAGCACTGAGCTAATGCGGCGCTATGCTAATTGCAAGGAGCAGATGGTACCACACACTCATTTTTCTCGCAGGCAGACAGTGTCATCTATTGTTTCTAACAACCCATTTTTTTTGGAAGAAAAACCAAACCGAAACAAACCAAAAAAACTACCCAAACCCCAAAGCCAATCAGTCGGCGCTCGGAAGAAGCGGTGGCGTTACTGCAAGTGCGTCCCCAGAGCAGAGGAGGGAAGCAGCTCGCTCGCCCTCCCAAACTCACCCCGGGGGCTTCTCATGCAGCCCTGCGTCACCACGTCCAGCTCGCAGCCTCCATCTACCTCAGAAATGCTACTGTTCCTTACGTTTATTTTTAAGATGTGCATTCAAAAGTAACTCTCAAGAATCCTTGCTCTCACCAAAAAAGTGGCAAAACACCCCTTTCAAATCACTGGAAAAAGGATATTTTAAGATTATGAACATTAGTTTACAGTCCATTTGATTCTTACAAGAATTATTAAATTCCAGCTAAAGGACGGCGTTATGAACACAACACCGGATTCACAAAATTGGAAATCCAAATCGTGACAGAACTTTGCAGAACTTGGTTGCGTAACTACTTACAGAATGTTTTTGCCAACACTCTCTTAAAACAGGTCTCTTCTTTTTATGAACTACAACTTCCTGCATGTCTTCAAGGGAGGGATGCTGGCCAATTTCTTCTTCAAACGGCAACATGTACTCGTCTACTGGGCCTATAGATAAAAAAAGAAGTTCAACCAACAATTCTGCTGGGTTTTTTTTTTTTTTAAAAATGGGGGGGGGGGGTTGGAATTCTGACTGGTATCTCGGAAATGTGGTTCGTGATCAGGATTAGTTTCTGTTGCCATTAAAAGCTCATCCCACGCCAGGTTAGCAGCGACCAGTGACCTAAACTGAGGGTTTCCCACGCAGCAGCTGGGGCCTTTTGGGGCGCCAGCGGCCTTGGGCCCTCCCGCCGCCCAGACGCGAGGGCGGAGAGAGGCGCTCGCCCCCGCCGCCTCCCAGCTTGGGGGAGAGAGAGGCCTCGTTGCCCCGCTTCCCGCTCCGCTGCCTCGCTCATCCCAGTAGCCACTCGTGAACATTTGCAGCCACTGCAAGAGAACATCGCGCCGCCACTGCAGCCCTCCTCCGAGCCACGCCGCCCACCACTGAAGCGCTTCCGCGGGAGGCTAAGCGTGGTGTTTGTCCGTGCCAGAATCGGAGGGACGAGCTTTATGTGCCGAACTATAGGTTATGTAGCTACGTACGTGTTATTGCAATATATATTTTGTGCTCTTAGGTCAAGAGCCTGAAAAAAAAAAGAGGAGGGGGACGATAGGAGAAATGAACGATCTGGTACAGATGAGGCTGATGAGACTCGGTGAAACGGAGCAGATACCTTCTTAAAAAAAAAAGAAAAATAAAAATATATATTTATACTTGCAGAGAAAAACCCAGCAGCCATGACCGCAGAGCTGCACCAAGCTGTGATTGAGGAAGGCTGCTTTCTGCCACTGCTGTCTCCTTTACTTCCCGGAAAAATATCCACACCTGCCTGAGACAACACACTTCCAGGAGGGTTTTGGAACGCGTGTTTGACGGAAGAACGAGGCACGAAGACTCCCCACAGCACGTGGGGCTGCCTCAGGGACTTGCGCAAGGCTGGGTCGACGCTGTTAGTAAACAGCTCAATGTTTTTAAAAGGGTCAAAAAAACTCCCTCGAGGCTCCTCCTCCGCGAGGACAAGTCTGAAGTGGAAAAGCACGGCTTGGAGCGGATCCGGAGGGGAAAAAGCATCGTGTGGCCACGCGCCGACCTGCTGAGACCTCCAGCGCCTCGCGGGTTTTCATGCCGGCATCCAAGAGCGGCGTGGGGCTCTCGCAGGAGAGCTGTGTCACCAACGGCGTCGCGAGCCCAGCCGAAACCATCACGGTCACTTAGCCGAATTCAGCTGCTCGAGGGACTGTACTGAACGTGCAACTTTCCCCCAAACATTTCTGAGCCTTGTCTCGTGTCTTGTTCTTGATTAATCCTGACTCACTTTGGCCACCCATAAAAGATCTCTAGTTACAAAACTTACAAGCAGTGTTCGTGCTTGAAAGAGGGTATCTGATATCTCTTCCTGGTAGCTTAGGAACTGGATCCAATGGTTCGCCCCGAGGAAAACAACTGGCATGGCCTCACAGCTTACAAAGGGATCCACTGCAGACTTCAAGACGTTCCTGAATTTTCAATTCCTAAACTATCACCAATGAGACATTCCTCAGAAGTTCGGACATCTATACGGGCTGAACTCGTGCTCCGTTAGTGACAAGAAAGAGAAAGAGGGTGGGGAGGCCCTGAACACAGCACAGTCTCGCTCTGGCTCCTGTGCCTAAAGCAGAAACAGACTTTTCCGTATCTCGGTGCAGAAAACAGCCCTGCCAAAGCTCAGCGGGATCGGGAAGGGCCGCGCATCCTGCGTATGCCGCTTATGAGCAGCTAGAAAACTGGTAACTGCATCAGTGCTCTTCGTAATAAAATACATGTTGACCTGGACAAATCCTTCATGTCTTTCAGCCTTGCACGCCCTTGGAGCTGGATCTCTGACAGGAAAAACGCGTCTCCGCGCACCTGGCCCAGGCAGGTCACAGTTACATCATTCCCCGGGCCAAATCTCTTGCTTACCATCCGAGGCAGTACAGCGAGAAGCCAGTTCCCAGAGGACTAATCCCATGGCGTACATATCTATTCTCAAAAACGCATCCCTTTGGAAGTTTATAGCACCTTCTAGTACCTCGGGAGCCATATACCTTCGTGTACCAACCTTGAAAGAAAGGAAAACGTAAGAATTTGTACACTAGGAATCAACATGACCACAATTACCACGCTGGCCGGTGCTGATTATAATAATACTGGGGACCAGCACTATTGTTTGTCAAAGAGCAACAATCACCGTGGTTGTCCGTGTTTAGGACTAAGTCCTGGGAGTTTCTTCTATCCAATAGGAGGTAGGAGGAATTGGAAACAATCCTACAGGCCGGGCCCTATAAAGGATACTTACGAAGCAGGAAGATCTGAATATACTGTAAAATGGCACATTTGCATAACAATTCAACACATTTGTCACTGCCATCCCGTATTTTATCTAGTTATCTGGTGGCAGGTGTCCCTGCTCATCGCACGGGGGCTGGACTAGATGACCTTTAAAGGTCCCTTCCAACCCAAACTATTCCATGACTATTATTTTCTTCCAGATTACAGGAAGGTCACTGTTCTTATTTCTGCGTGTCATAAGGCTGTGAAACGTGCTTATGTTTCTCCCCACGACAGAAGCAGTAATAAAAAATACCAAAGGGAAAACTAGCTACCGAAGTGCAATGCATACTGGGAAAGTTACGTGACATCACTTACACAAAACTGGCTAGTAAGTGAGAACTCCGGGGATATCCCTCCTTTTTGACCACAGGCCATGAAGCAATTATGTCATCTGAATAAATAACAACTTCTGTGATGTCCAAACAAGATTTATTTCACCATTTAAACCTTCATGGCAATAGCTGTGTTTCTCTTGAGCAGCGTTACTGAGGTTTTATAATCTTATTGTACGGATTTTATTTCTGCCGCTCAACCATAAACTGTGAAGTTCTGCCTAAAATTAAATATATTCAGTTTTCCAGAAACCGTAATGCTCTAAGCTCAAGCTTGTTATTCTAAAAGTACACGGTGCTAAAACAGTTCCCTGTTCCGTGCCAAGTGCTTGATTAGCACTGTTGTCGTTTCAGGAGAGTGACTGTTGCTAGGTCAGAAAGTTAGAAACTGCCTGCCAGGATCATGCCTCAATTTCTTGCACAGTATCTCAGAACAATTAATAAAATACTGTAAGACCTCCCTTTCTTGTCCAAATCCTCTAGAGTCAGGATGACAATAAGGGGGGAGAGAGGCCGTGTAACGAGACGGGGGAAGGCTGGGACCTGTAATTATCTGAAGAATTGCTTAATTTTTAGCCTGTGAGAAGAAAGCACAAATTGTCACATTTCTTAGAGGTCACCAAAACCAGGGTGGGTGATACAGCGTCCTGTGCATGAAGCATGCCTAAACTATCCCTTTCCATTCACATGCACCTAACAGTTGTATCATTTATGTAAATAAATCTGTATTTTACCTGTCCGTGTGTATCCCCTGCAGACTTTCCAGCCTCAAACTTTAAAGCTAGACCGAAATCGGCAATACAAGCTGTAAGATTATTTTTCAGCAGCACATTCTTGCTTTTGATGTCCCTTTCAAGTTAAGGAAAAAAATTAGAGATCTAGAACATGAAATACCATATACAGTCCTAAGGAAAAAGTAACGTAATAAAACAAAGAACGTTTTGATATGAAAGGCAAGAAAACGATAAAGAAGCAGTCCACCTGAAGAACAAAATAATAATAAAACCTCGGAGGAGTATGCTTGCACACCCTTCTTCTTATGGAAATATTTGAGACTGCACCTGGAACTGTCATTTTACGCTTAGCTTTAAAATATCTACAGATTTATAAGCACGTATGATATAGAAACAGAATAAAAATGTAGTTACTGCGTGCTTTACTTACAACTACATTTTGTTTGTTTAAATGACAGGAACCAAAAGCCCTTTGAAAAGTGACTCCTGATTGTTTCTAACAAGGAGATACACGATTTCCTGCAGAAACAAAAGATAATGGACTCGATCCAGGGATTCCCATCTGGCCTGTGTGTACCTCTCCCCTTCCCCCATTTCACCATCAGTCAAGCAATTTTGCTCATGAAATATCCAAATGCTGCAGGATCTGTATTTCTCTTGTTCTACATGCCTTTCATTTTGGTTACCACTATCATTTCAGCTCCCTACTTCTATTAATAGCTTTCTATACTTAACCTCATTTAAAAAAAACCCCAGCAATTATACTCAATATAACAGACATAACACCACTCACAGGAAATGTTTCTGTCTTCAGTATTACTTGGAGTTACATATGGAAGTGTATAAGTTGTTTCGAATCTCTATAATGCCAGTTATTTCACATACTGCAGAGGGTGCTTAAATAATTAACCGCATAAAAATTGAATTTACGACATTAACCACAATCACCACACCAAGTTCTATGAGCCACCAGCTAGATTTTTGCTCTGGCTGAGCAGATTTTTCTTAGAAGGCTCTCGATAATTCTGGAAGGTATCACTGAGGAATTACTTTAATACCTCCTATCTAGCCATGTTTCATATCCTTTAGCTCGAAGCTAAACACTCACAATCCCCCCAAAAGATTTCACGCGCACTGTACCTATGTGAGATGGCAGGTTTGTGCCCGTCTTTTAGCCCGGGTATATCCTCGTGAAGATAAGCCAAGCCTCTAGCCATAGTCTGAGCGATGTGACACAGCTCATTCCAAGAAACCACATTCGCCTTGAGAAAGTCTGTTAATGAACCCTGCAGAGCAAAAAAAAAAAAAGCAAAACCCATCACAAGATCAATTTAGTTCTCATTTACTCGTAAGAAAACTTCTGGGTGGACTCCATCATTAAAGAACACGATCCGCCTGCCTGCCTTTCTCTGGTTTCGGATAGACCACCTAATGATACACATACCTACGCAAACGGCTGCTAGCTTAAACAACAAAAAAATTAACCTTTGCCTCCTGCCTAGCCCACGGACAGACCCGAGGCGCGTCTACACAGCCCCTCAACAAGCCGACGGTGCAGTGAACTCAACTTCAGCGGCACGCTTGGCTGAACTGCGCTCAGCTGGCGGTGTCACCCAAACGGGAGGTAGACTTGAGGTAGTTGAATTCTTTATACGGGCGGCCCTGCTTTTACAAACACGATTCGTGATCTTCCAGGCACAGGAAACGAAAGGTTAGATTCACCTTCCAGAACCTCGCTGAAGTGTGCGTGGCCGTTCTTCAGCACCTCCGGTTGACAATCTGTCTTTTTTTTCTGGCCACAACAGTGAACTCCAATTTCACAACACGGTTTCAGAGTGAAATACACACTCTGAATAAATATAAAGAGATAATGTAAAGTAAAAATTATTCGACATAAAGCTCTTCCTTTCAAAGCCACTTCTACAGACCACTCCATACACACGTTTTCATGGATTTGTGTATTATCCAGTTTGTGAAATGTCACTGTGTCACGTGTTGCTGTGTGAAAAGCCAACACGAAAGGGAAAAAAAAGAACAAAGAGCTGTCAAAGTGTACAGGCTACACTTTAAAAATAAAAAAATCCTATTTTTCATCAATTAGAGCCATCTCAGATGCCATCTTTCCAACAGTAACAAGATTTTTAAAACTCTTAGACAGAAACAAACAAAAAAATGGCAATAACCTTTCAGAAAGGCAAATTAGTTTGATATTATCTAGTTGATTGTGAAGATCTGTCAAAAATTTTAAATAGTTGGACAGTCTTCTAAATTATTAAAGCAGAAGTGGGACAAAAATGCCAGAATGCAGAATGTAACATTCAGTGCTAGAAATAGAACCTAAGACCTAGCCTTAACACATTAGCATGTGCATATTATACACATTTGTATTTTCTCAAATCTGCTACAGGTAAGATCTTCCTTGCTTCTGCCAGTGCTACATTTAAGTTTGGGGGGTTTTTTGCCTTTTTTTTGCCCTCTTTGTACATCCATCTCTGTGACAGTTACATGCATTAAAAAAAAAAACAAAAAAACCTAGGTGGATAAAATAAAGCAGTGAACAAATTCTTGATTACATGTATCTACGTTTCTCGTGGTTATCACAACAGAATTGATACATATTACTTCATTCTTACAGACTCAAATCAATTAACACAAGTAAAGAAAGTAAACCATCACAATCTCTGCAAGATGGAGTTTAGTTTAGGCAGGTCTAGATGGGGGATATTCAAAAATACACATTCTAAAAAGCATGCATGTAGAATGAATTTTTGTTTGTTCTCTAAAACAACTCCTCTATTAAGTGAAGACTGATGACAACTTTCTCAGCTGGATGAAAATAAATTTAAATAAATTCATATCCATTGAAAAGAGACAAGCTAAGAGTAAGCGAGAACTATTTTAAATTTTATTTCTTAACTGTCTCAAGTTCACATTTGGGACAAATTTCTAAGGCCGCTCTTCCTCGGCCGTAATCATAAAAAAAGAAGGCTCGCCGAGAAGGCACCGTACCTTTTCATGAAACGCTGTAATTAGCCAGAGATCCACATCAATGCTGGTGCCTCGTTTCTCTGCACCAATGAACTGCAAAATATTGTCGTGCTTCATTCCAGGTAGACTGTAAATTTCATATTCGTTCTGCCATGACTGTTTGTCCTTTAAACAAAAGAACACATCAAACCGAGTTAATACCATCATCACGAGAGTAAGAGGTACTTGCCCTGACACAAGTATTCTTCTAAAATTTTCTGTGCATTTGTAAATGATCTGTCAAAATGACTAACACTTTTTGGTTTTTTTGGGGCACGACAGGATTTACTACCCGAAGGAAAGAAAGCATAGTGCGTGCTATTAACATGATGAGACCGATTATTTAAAAATTACAAATGTTTAGACTGCTAACAATATTTGCGCTACAAACTACTCACGGAACACATCAAAATATGAAAAACTTTCTTCACATATATTGCACGGTCCCGTATAGTAAGAAATTGTAAATTTGTTGTAAACAAACATCAGTTATTGAAAACAACCTCAACCGTCACAGATATGAACCACAGAACATAGACAGCTGTAGATTAGGACTGGAGTTTACATAATACAAATCGTAACAATTGCGTCAGTCTTAAGAGCACCGTTCAATTTTTGTGTTTTAGTAATCTACAAGAACCCCATAAAGAATTAGAAATAGGCTGTCCTTAATTAAAAATAATGAACAAAGTCTCAGATTTAATTTATGCTCTGCTGATGGCTGAAACCAGCATAAATACATGCCATTTCTCCTAGAAGAACAAGAACCTGCAGATGTATTTAATCAGCAAGTCAATGCTTGGTTAATCATCAGAAAACAGCAGCACATTTCTGCACCCCATGTAGCAGCGATGGTTTTAATTAATATAAAAATCTATCCTAATGTCATTGTGTACGATCGCTTTGTGTTCTTTAACTAGACCGGATCTCAAAATTATGGGCAAAATCTATTCTAAAACTCGGTTTTCAGAGGGTACTTACCAGGATGTAAATATTATTACACTTAATTGAGGTATATTTAATTGGAACAATCACCTTAGAGGTTTGAATTTCAGGACATTCTTTCTAACAATTTAATTTGAAAAATATTAACAAATTCTTCTCCAATGAGAAATGTGAAATAGCTGCTTAAAACTATTCATGCCAAAGATGTATGACCAAAAACATATACATTTCACAGGGTTTATGCCTCAATAACGTTTGCTGCCTTCAAATGCTTATTTTAATTCGCTAAAACTCTACCTGCACATTTTTCTGCTCAAGACATTTCCATCTAGATTTACAGTACGTATTGAAAAGTCTCTAAAATAAAAGCCTCTTACTGTGACTAGAAAAGCTCTTTTAACATTACGATATTCCAAGCAACACAGGGCGCCAAGAACTTCTGCTTACCTGAATAGGGAATATTTTGACTGCAACATACTCGTTTAGTAGTTGAGCTTTCCAAACGCAACCGAATCTTCCCCTAGCTTTGATCTCTAGTAACTGCAATGGCTTCAAACCCATCAACGGTGAAGGCGGCGGGGGTCCAGGATCCTGAAATCAGGTTAAAACCATTAATTAATTTCGCTACTCTACACGCTATGATGAAGCACTAGAAATAAAGGCTTGCAAACTGGAAGACACTTGTATCACGTCCCCAAACCCTTGCAACAAATTCCCCCAAAGAAACCAGAAACAAACCAGCAACCCTTCTCCACGGGAAAGAAAAATGAGATTGTAAAACATGCTCAGAATTAATGTGCAAGCGACAGAATAACAACAGCTACAGAATAAATCTGTCTAACCAGGTGTAAAACCACAGCAGAAATTAAGGAATAAAGATAATCAAGCTTTACTTGTTACTTTAAGAGATAGAATTAAGATGAGCACCTCTGATAGATTTAAGGGTGGTTTTTTTGTTTGTTTGACATACGTGTGGTCTGTTTAACCCTTCAGTTCAACGGCCTGGTGACTTGGCTCTACACAGCCACAAAGCCCATCTCCGCGTGACGAGCCCTGCCTCCCTCGCAGCGGGGCAGCAGCAGATGCCTGCCTGAGCAATTTGGCTGGGGGCAGCAGCCCGGAGCTGCAGCCAGTCCCCTCGCTGTCTGCATAACGTTACCACGTGCTGGTTCCACCCTCACCCACCACTGAGCTGACACGGGCAGAGCTCTACTCCAAAAACTCCACTGCTCGCTGGGGGACCTCGGGTTGCCATCCAACGGGTAGGCAGGCCACGCCACTACAAGGTCTTCCAGGACGTTAACTCCCACGTTTTCATTCAGAACCCACTGAACCGCAGGCACAGTGCAGACGTTCAGGCACAGGAAACCAAACATCAGCATCGCCAGAGCCAGCCCTCCACGCCACACGGACGGCGGCGTGAGGAACCGCGGCACCGCCGCTTCAACCTACCGATCCGCTTCCAGTGCTCCCCACTTCTCCCCCCATGGAGATATGTTACTGAGATGTGAGCACGCGGCTGTATCCCAGAAACAGAACCGGAATTAAATTTAAGAGATTACCTTGTCTTCTCTCACAGTGTCTGTACTTCACTGAGGGGCTAGCCCAATAATTCCTTTTCAAATATGACACCACAAGCTGGGAAGTACAACTGCAATTGGGATACAGCTACCCGTATAATCACCCATCTTACTAGAGCTGAACAATTTCCCCTTCTGGGAAAGAAAATGTGACAGTTTATTGAATATCTTGTATTCTGTATTTTATACATCTCTTCCATATTCTGCATCATACACACCACCTGAACGGAACAAGTAGATTTCCAACTTTATTGCCAAAGATGTGCTCTGTTCTGGGCTGTCCTTTTCCCTCCCATCTACCACCTTCCGTGAGCTTGTCCCTGTGTAAGCTTCTGCCCTACCATGAGCAAACACACCCGACCCCTTTACATATGCCTCTGCGTCAGAGAGTATTACCCTACACACAGAACCATGATCTCTTCTGTCCGATCCCTGTTTTCTGCAGGAAAATAAGCTCTGGTGTGTAGTGGTCACCAAGCAGAATTACCTATAGTGTCCTGACAGACAGCTCCGCCTTCCTCTCCCCCCCCCAAATTAGTTTAAACCTTGATTTGTTCCTCGGTCCAAATTACTACAGAGAATTGCAAATGCCGGTGCCAGCGATGATAGGGTGGGGGCATACTGCCAGGCCACAGATGGGAAGAGGGGGAACGGCTGCTTTGAGTGGCACTGCGGGGCTGTGGAGACCACAGAATTGTACCACAGGTCTCGATATTACGTATGAGAGAAAGGAACACAAAAACGAAAGGGAGCTATCACTTCAGAATTATATCCACATTGCGGAAATACAACAACAACAACAACAACAAAAAAAAAAAAACAAAAAACAAAAAAAAAAAAAAAAAACAAAAAAAAAAAAACAAAAAAAAAAAAACAACACAAAACCCTGAAGTCTACTGTTCAAAAAACCCTCCAAAATGTACAGTTGGCATCTCTATTTTTGTCCAAACAGCCGCAGAAGTAACGCTGTTTTAAAGAGAAAGAATGGAAAACACTGGAGTAGTTTTTCCTAGCAAAGAAATGAGAGTACTCAGTAGTTAAGTATTTGAGCACTTCAGTTAACAACATAAAAACCTTGTACATGTTAAAGGCACATTTTTGGAGGAACTGTGGTTTTAAGTATACTTTACTATTGTGAGAATGGAGACAAGTGCTTACGTTTGCAATTAAAGTTTTGAGTAGTTTAAGCACAGGTATAAATAACCATTCTCTTGCTTCTTATTAAGCAACAAATATATCCTTCAAAAAGAACAAGTTTCATACAGACACAGATTCATAGGAATTTAAAGAAACCGTAACCTAATTCCACAAATTAATAGCTGTAAATGAACATAGAGTGTTTGAAATTCAAATTAGAATCACATTACAATACTACTCTCAAAAAAGTATGAAATCCTTTGACAAATATGACAGCGACAGCTGCTTAAAGTGGTTACATCAAAATTGCTGGGTTTAAACTGGACGAACGACAACACTGAAAATGAAGTTTAAGAGTGGAGTTTTCCCTCCAGTTCTGCCCTCCATTCAATGCCAAAGCCCTTTATGAATATTTCAGGCACCAGGGAAATTCACTGTCCTCATTTTGCAATAGTTACAAGTGAAACCAGAAACAAGATGCCCAAATTTACTCACAACAGCCTACTTGAACTTGTGAGAAAACCTGCCGTTTTTAAGAATCCTGAGCATTGTGTAGCATCTGGGGATTTAACATCAAGCGATCAAACAACTTTAAAGAGTTCTGAACCTAATGACTTGCCTAAATTAAGAGAACAATTTGTGGGAAGCGAACCCAAGCCTCACTTTGCTTTAGTGGCTAGAGCAGCTCCTTTTCATGCCCTCCACCCAAAAGAGTTTGCTGGAATTCCGAAGCACATTATATGATTTTTTTTCTCAACCGTCAAGCAAATGACCACGCTTAATACTTCTCAAAGATTTGATAAAAAAAGTCTTACAGCATCTATCACGTGAGAGAAGGCAGTAACTCCTCAGTAGAAACCGGCCAGTGAAAACTGGTGCTTCTTTCTTTCACCTTAGACCATGATACTATTCGCATATCTGAACTTCCTACTTCCTCGAAAATCCTGGCATTTCAAAATATTTTCCCACTACATTATATAGCAACCTCCCGTGGCTCCCTGCACACTTCCCTTTCATGTTGAAACATTTCTATGAAGTCAAAACTTCCGGCGTTCTTATGAAGAAGCAACGCACACCCACACACACAAATCAAAACAAATCCTGATTTAAAATGGAAAGTATAATTGCCTTCTGTTAACATAACTAAAAAAGAATAGTTTTCCAGGTTTTCTCTGTTTTATTTTTTTTTTTTTTTAATTTTTTTCCTAAGCAACTTTGTCAAAATCAACAGGCGTTTACTCTAAAACTCCCGGTACTATTTTTATACAGAAATATTCCTTGACAATATTTTCAAGTTGCTCTACTTCTAAGCAAAAATGTTTAATGTGCCACAGGCGTAATTATTTTTGTATGGCTTTTTAAAATCATCTCAGTGGCGCCAAGGATGATGATATAATGTGAGTAAAGATATAATGTGGATATATATTAGTCTAACAGCTTGCCACAGCTGTCAAAAAGTAAGGGCCCAATTTCCCGTTCCCAAGCTTCCCCCGTCCCTTCCCTCGGGCTGATTCTGGTACTTGTTTGACCACGCAGCAAATCAAGGCAAAAACTTTTATTTATTTTTAAAATCATGTTAGTTTTGGCAAATTTAATCAGTTTGCCACAAGGTTTAGGTTAACACAAAAAGCACGGCAAGGCAGAGGGAAGCCGGGCTCTCTCGTGGGAGCGGCGAGCCAGTGGTCCCAAGAAACTTCACCCCAAGTACTCCACCTTCTCGCAGACACGCTCCGTCCTAACCCGGGGCGGTTAGCAAAGGCAGCAGGAACATTCCTGCTGCACAACGATCCGCTGCCAGATAAAAAAGCAGGAGCAGCTACGTCGGCAAAAAGTTCTTGAACTGACTGGGTCGTACGGTGCACAATCCTCAGACAACTAGGCTTGGCTCTTCCTAGAGCTCCAAGCCATCGATCAATTGAACCCGCAAGTTCGGGTTGTATCGTGAGCTCAAAATCACAGACATCCAATAAGATGTACACTGAAAGGTTTTCCAATCTCAATCAGGGCTTTTTAGTAAGGATTTTTCTAGCTGGGAGTTGCAGGGAGCTGTCAGGCAGTGCATACCAGTCACATCGGAAAAAGAACAGAGGGGAAAATATTCATCAAAGAAGGGTTAAACTTGCAGAGATCTGTTTTCTTAAGTGTCTTCAAGAGTGGTTCTCAAGGTCAGAGAGAAGCTTAACAAACGTGAAACTACAAATCCATTAAAAATATGACCGACTGAACCGATTGTTTAAGGGCCTGCCCCAACACAGTCAGTCAGCACTCGAGTTTATCTCGTTCCGTCTCTCATATGGCAACTGAATCAAGGAATTCATCACATAAAACAAAGGGAAGAAAAGGCCAATTATCCAAACAGGGTTGTACACAGACACATTTCTCTTTCCTGACTCCAAAATATAAACAACTTCTCAAACCTCCAGAGCACATGCAAGTTTTCTTCGTTAAACAGTGCAATATTTTCCCTTGGTTACATTTATTTCACAGCTTATATTGTGAATATGGCTGACAAGTTCTCATTGAAAGTCTGGTGACTATCTTGGTTGTTAACTCCCTTTCTAGCTGGGGACTGGTTCATTTTCAACCAGATGATTTGGAAAGTTAAGATCCAAATACAGTAAAGGGAGTCAGAATTCTTAAATTTTGTAATTCTTCTAAAATCGGCACTATGATTTGTAGCCAACTACATTTCTTTTACGTGGCAACAACTCCTCCCCTTTTCACCACACGAAATCCTGTGTTTTATTGTACACTGCAAACATATTCCCCAAAGCAATATAACCAAAGTAGTTACTTGTAGGCAGGATACTTCAGCTTCTTCCTTAACAGAAATTATGGCATTTGAGGCAAAACAGTAACGCAAATAGAAGGAAC